AGCATATGCTCGTATCACTGCACTAGCAAAGGGATAACTGCATGGCTGCGAAGAAAGGGATGGGGTCTTTTGAAGTCATTGGGTTCGCTAGCACATGTTGGCTAGCATTTTTGCTCTTGCAAAGCACTAGTTTGCGGCACCTCTTAGAACTATTGTGGCAGTATGCCAAATTGTGTTTGTCTTTTTGTTCTTCATACAATTTTCCCCTGCTTTTTGTTCTTTCTTCCTTCTAGAACATTCTAATCTTAATTCTGTTGGAATCAACGACTGAAGTTATTGTTAAATATTATGACATTGATACGTACAATGCATTGTGTTGCAGCAATGTTTGTAAATATTTTTCTTGTTATGTAATAAAAGATTGTTAGCGATGTTGACCTCTCGGGAACTATTGGTGATGATCTTGTTTTACTCTCCTCTTTTTAGTGCTGACCTACCGTGAGTCAAATCGATATTATCTTATGTATAATCTTTGTTCTTCTGTCACTTAACCAGTTACATGAGTCTAACCAGTTTCCTAATCTCCACAAAGCAACATCCAGTCTAATAAATTCTTCCTTCTTGGAGGTGAGGGCCGCTTCCTGGAATAGCCAGTACATTGAGTCTAAGGTTACCTGAGGGCATATGTGGGGAAGAAGGGTCACTTTTGACCTGGTACTTGGAGAGAGAGGACAATGAAAGGAGAGATGTTAGTGTTTAGTGCCTGAATAGACAGGTGAATTCATAACTTCAAGTGGGAACCTTGAAATTTCCAGGTCAAAATTAATGTGTTAGAGTTGACATTCAACTTAATCAGTTGCAAGTTTCAAATGAGCAATCAACAATTTGGATAGAAATAAAAACCCTAGGACCCACGTAGAGGAAGATGGAAGCGTGTATTGTGTGTAAGACATTTCCATATGGCCCCTTACGACCAAAGAAAGACATTCATATGACCTGAATACTTTTATTTTGTCCTGATTGCCATCTTTACTACTACTCGCCCCTATCTTCCTCTTTCCATATTAGCATAAGTTTAGTATTAGTTTTAGGAAAATTATTTTTGTAATAATTATTCTTGTTTATTATATTGGACTAGTGTTGTCATGACTTGTGTTGTGGCCTCATTTATTAGTTTGTAATTTCTGCTGAAGATAGGGTTTAAGGTTTCTGCTGGAGAAACTATCTTAGAGCTGATATCCCTGATTGAACATGTAAATAATCATAACACAATAGATAAAGTAATTGTATCACATCTACTGCATGTTTAATTATTAGGTGTTTACCATAGTGGGCTAACAAAAACCCTATCATATATCTCATACCATCCACAGCCATAGAAGTGACAAGGGTGTCCAAAGACTCATCTATCACCCTCTGCCACTTTCTCCTCCACTTTGTTTGATTGCACCTCAACAGACTCCAAGGAATAGGGTCTGGGATCCATTCAAATTGAAGGTAGAAATGACAGGGACTTCTGAAGTCATATCTGATATCTGCCACCTATGACTCTGCTTTATGTCTTGAAAGAACAACCACGATTAACCACTTGCCGCCCACTGATTAATTAATTTAATGTAATTAAGCATAAAAAATACTTAAAACTGAAAAACGAAAGAAATGCCTTAATTTTGAAGAAAAAGCTTCAAAGTTTAACTTCCTTTGTCTTGCCTTTCTGTGAAATTTGACACTGATGAGTCATTGTTTACACAGCTGGATGACCTTGAGATCATCTGGTATTGGATTTCCCGGGACATTCTCGTAGACCTCTCGGGAGGACAAGGGTTTAAAGTCAGGTGAATACTAGCTGGCCGTATATTTTTAAAAAATTAAAATTTTAATTGCGATTTCCGACCCCCCGATTTAATTAAACTTATATATAATAAAATATATTAATTAAAAAAATTTAAAAACTATTGGAGATTGTTTTTGACATCAGAAAGTAGCTTTAAATAACTTTACCGAAGTCAAATCTGTGCACTACAACTTTAGAATGATTAATTAAATTTGATAAAAAAATCCCATTAAAAACAATTAAGCCTTAATCGTGCGTCATTAAAGGTTGATTAAAATCGCGATAAAATTTTTTTGCGCAGGTAAAAATTTTTGAAAAAATTTGGAGACTTAAAAAAACATTCCAAAAATCAAAAAAAAATTTTGGGGGACCGAGTTTTCTGTAATGCTATGTAACTTGCCCAAGTTAACTCGGGTCCGGACTTCTTCAGCGCACACTGCTAACTCCATGATTCTCTTGAAGGTGTGGGAGATAAAGGATCTAATTGATCCTCTGAATCTGTTAGGAAACTCCCAATAGAGACCACTTCATAGGCACTTTGAGTATCAGAATTCATGTGGGGATTATTCCATTTACAAGTGTGAAATTTTTTATTTGGTCTGCATGGTAACCCAATAAGGTACTGTACACAAAAACAAGAGGCATGCATGGGTCACTTTGGACAGTACAAAATGACAGAAATCCCTTTGTTCTTTAAATCTGCTGTTTTTATTCATTTCAGTCCTCTATTGCCCATTCTAATTGGTTCTGATTCCCTTTCACTGTTTCCCAATTGGTCTCCTCCCGTGTTTCCAAGTAGAAATACAATTGAATTGGGTCATGAGAAAGGTCATTCTTTGCTGTTCAACTCGACACCATCCCTTGACTTTGATTGGGTGATGATGATGATGAAAATTTGAAACCTGCACTTGTATATTTGATTGTTATAGTCTCCATTCTAGCATTTTAGAATGTTAACTATCAAACATGATGTTTCCCCACTCAGTTTAACTTTGATCATTTGTATATGAGCATCAGAGTCAAAGTTCAAACTCTCTGGCCTGACATTGATTAATTTTTTATTGCTTAACACGTGTCTGAATCACACTCAGGACTCATATTGTTTACTTCTGCATCACATTTATTTATTACCATTTTTCTTCTATTTTAAAATATATTTTTAACATGATTAATAACTGGTTCAAACTCGGTCTGGAACCTCACAATCAGGACAGAATAAAAGGATACTTTTATTCTGTCCTGATTGCCACCTTTATTACTACTTGCCCCTATCTTCCTCTTTCCATATTAGCATAAGTTTAGTATTAGTTTTAGGAAAATTAAGTTTTCCTAAAACTAATACTAAAGTTGGAAATCAACCTTGGGTTTGATTATTTTGTTTTCAGAAATTTTTTTTATCTGACAATTTTATTTTTTTTCCCCTTTTCATAGCTCTTCTGCTCATCAAAAGTAGCTCAGACCATCCTTCCAAAATAAATTTTAGGAAAATAAAGTTAGCATTATCTGATTCATGGTCTTCAGCTATAACATATATATAAAATACAGCACATTAAATATGAAATTTAAAAATTAATTTTTAGTTTCATTTGAGAATTACAAATAATTTTTTTCTAAAATAGGAAAATATTTTAAAATCATTAAAGTACTTATTGTTTTTGCTCATTGTTTTGTTGATATAAAAATCAAAATTTTTTTACTACTTTCATATATCAGAAAATTATAATGCATCAATTAGATTTCTAATAAATTGTTCAAAGCCAAAAAGCAATAACGTAATTACTAATTAAAATTAATTTATATTTTGATACTGAAATGATTGCTACAATTAATATTAACATTGTTGTTTTTTATTATATTTTTAAATAAACAAGTATGTTAAATAGAAAAAAATTTATCAATGACATCATTCAAAGGAATAATTTTTAAGTGATGACTTTCAAAACTTTAAAACAAACTTTTATCATATTAATATTTTTATCATAATTTTAGTTTTTAATAGAATTGTTATCAGAAAGTTGCAATAGAAAGTTACCATCATTACTCATCAGTTTTTGTTACTTTGTAGTCTAGAATTTTTTAAGTCTTGAATTCCAGATTACACAAATGTCATCAATGTAAAGTTAGCATTGAAAAATGTTAAAAATAATAGAATATATTAGTAAGAGTAAAATGTGATTTTCATATTAATAAAAATTTTTCTGTTAACAACAGATCATATACTGATTGTTAATGATTACTTTTATCAAATTATTGAGCATGTATTATCACTAATCAATTTGTTTTACGTAAAATATTTCAAAATTGCAATTTTGAGTTGAATTTAGTGCAGTTATTGATGAATGTTATAATTGCATTTCAGTTTCTATAAAATATTCAATACATAAATACATTATAGCTTAAGATTATATATCTTATATAATAATTTTCTAGCAGATAACATGCAAAAACTGGCCATGGATGTAAAATATTTTCTTTTATCTGATGATGATGTACTGTAAATTTGAGTTACATTTGATATTGTAAATAAATGGTATAGTTAACTTAAAAACATAAAATATTGTAAATTAAAATATTTTATCGGCATTTTTCTCTCAAGTCTATGTTGAAGTGGTTACCTCCTTATCTGGTGCATTTTCTTCCACTTGTTGAAGCATGTTTGGGGAAAATGACCAATTCAGTAACTGTAATGTGAGTAATCTTTTGTTTCAAGTTAGTTTCCAATTCTTTCAAAATTTGAGGGTTGTTATAGTATATACTTTCCCATTTGGTGAACATCAGAAGTAAAAGAGTGATGAGTTGGGAGAGCAGTGAGCTTTAGATTTTTACTGATTGCCCTTTACTGAGTAAAATCACTGTTGATTCAAGAACTGATTGGTGAGAGCAAGTCACTCTGCTTTATTATAAGAAGCATAAGTCAGTTATATGTAATGTTTTCATACTCCACTTTAAAGTTAAAACTATTTTCCATTTGGGGCTGCTTGCATGTTACCTTATAGTTTTTGATTGTTTTTAAATGCATTCAATGATTTTAATTTGATAGGCATAATTAAGTATTTTTTAATATTATTGTATTGAATAATGTAATGTACAGATGAATTATTTGTTGTTAAAATAATTATGTTAAGGAATTTAAAAAATAAAATAGTATGGTATAAAATGATTTTAAACATAAATTATACTGCAAATCAAATAATAATAATTTTTTGTTAATTGTTATTAACAATAGCCAGCAATAGATCTGTGTCATCACTTGATATTTATCTCATCTATGAATTGATAAATGCAGTAGCATGTACATTCATCTGTCCAGTTAATATCAATATATTGTATTTGGAATCATATAACAATTAATTCAGGAATTAAATTTAATCAGATGGTAAGTTAGTTTATTTTTATTATAAAAGTAATTAATTATATTCATTTTAAATTATATGTAATTACATATATATATATCATTATTTATTGAAATATAATATTAAACAAACATACTTTTCCAAATTCATATCCATATTTTTGTTCACTTAATAAAGAAAAAGGAATTTGCTAATTTAACTATTATTCAACTTAATTTATTTATTATAAAGTTAAAAACTAATAAAATCAAAGTAAACTTAAAAAATATATTTTAAATATAAAATTTATAATTTTATCTTAGGCAACACAGACTCGAAGGGAACATTTATATAAAATTTTAGTAATAGGAGAATTGGGAACAGGTAAAACAAGTATTATTAAGCGATATGTTCATCAGTTTTTCTCTCATCACTACAGAGCAACAGTATCCTTAACTTGTAATCTAATAAATTTATTCTAGTTTGCATTCAGATAACTTTACAACTGTTTTTATTACTATAGTTTACCTTTTAAGATAAGAAATATACTAGTACAGTGCATGTTTAGAATAAAATGGATAAAGTTTTCATATTAAAAAAGCTCTTATACAAGTTTAATTAACTTATCAATATTTTAAAAGTTTTAGTATAGAAGTTTATTTTCAAGCTATTTAAATATTTTGTTTAATAATAATAATAATAATAATAAAACTTTAAATTCTTACTNAAAATATATATATGTGTATATTAAACTAGGGCGGTTTTTTCAAGCTCCGATGGTCCATAAAACAAAGACAAGTGTAAATAACAAAATTAATTTATTACCAAAAGTTAGGTTACAAACATGGTTACTTTTCGACATAATCACCGTGAAGATTGAAAAATTTGTCATATCTGTGGACGAGCTTTTCATCCCCTTGTCGTAGAATGTTGCCTCCAGTGAATTGAGATTGCTTAACAACGTTGTTTTGAAGATCGTCATTAATTTCAAACTTCTGCCCTGCTAGCCACGTTTTCAGTTCAGGAAAGAGATGGAAGTCTTCACACATTAAAAAGTTTCAAGCTGGGTGGAAGTCTGAAAGGTGGAAGTCTTCACCGCCTTTAAACACCCAGCGTATAGCCTCGATTTAGCACCGAGCAATTTCCCTCATTCATTGTGGTATTGCAGTAATTTCACGTTATAATATCTCTTTCTGAACGATTTCATTCACAAAAAATTCTTTTAAGTTAATTCGAATGATTAGCTTTTTCATTTTTAAAATACTATTTCTAATCTGCTAGAAAAATAATTTTAAAATTAATGTTATCTAATTACAATAATGATAATAGTCCAGACAACCAATTGTGAGATCAACTTTAATTGTATTGAGTACTGTAATGTAAATAAAGGTGCAGTTTACATTCTTTGTTAGATATGTTGTAAGTGTACAAACAGCATCTACATCCTTATAATAGACTATACTTACGTTAAGAAAAATAAATTTTTAAAATAAATAATCAGTAAATTAATAATCTATTCTTTCTTAATCTTAATTTACATATAAATAACTAAATAACAAAACTGTTGATGTTGTCTCAAGATCAATGTAGTGAAATCATTTACAAATTAACAAAAAAACAATTGCATGTAAATATAGCATTAGACTAAATATCCAGCTTCCAGAAACCCAAAATTACCAAAAACTGACTGTTTTCTATCATTATTTCTGGATAATATCAGTAAGTATCTTTCATAAAATCGAAGAGAAAAACAAATTTTGCACAAAAAAAAATACTGTTTCTTACTGGTATTCCAATAAATGGAAAAAAAAAACAAATTTTTTTAAAGTATATGCTATAAACCATAAATAATCTATGATGACAAGTTCAAATTTATATTCATTTTAAAAAAATGATTTACTACAGTGCAACACTCACTCAGAATTAATGTTCATTGTAAAATTGAAAGACAGATTTGAAATGCAGGTGTAAAAAAAACTGAGATTAAAAATTGATGCAACAAAACTAATTTCCTCAATTTTTGATGATGATAAAAAATAAATAATAAAAATATTACTGCCACTACCTTTAGTGTCATTTCTCATTACAGAATAACTAAACATACTTCTTATTGATAATATCCTTTTTACATCAACACAAAAAATGTTCAGAATTGTAAAGAATTATTTCAGTTTTCAGATATATATACTGACTGTATATATATATATAGTACAGCAGGACTTCACCATGCACAATTTCAGGTTAATGCTATTGGTGATTTTAAAAAAAAGGTGGAAAAATACATAAAATATTTTATAATTGTGCACTAGATCTATGCTGTTTTTTAAGATGCATGAAGTCTTACATCATCTCATTCTAGGAAAGTAATATTGTGACTTTTCTTTATTTTGCACTACACACCAAGACACTCAGTCTTTGTATGAGGTTCTCGTTTGTAACATATTATCTCTGTATGATATCGGTGCATCTTTGTTTTCATTTATGCAAACAGGACTCCAAAATACAAGAGTAGTGATGCTGCTACCTGTATTAAGACAAGGAAAAGCCATAAAGTGGCTTCTTTAGAGGGAAAACAGTAAAAGTTTAAATTTATTGTGAAAAGCAAAAAGTCGTCTTCAAAAATTTAAGTTGTTTTTATGATTTATGGAATTGTTATTTTTATGTATTTATTTGCCTTATTTATGAAAATGTGTATATAAAAAATGTACAAAGTAGATATGTTAATATAGGAAATACTTGCTATTTTTTGGACTGCAATTTGATAAAATTGTAAACCTATAAATTCCCACTGTCATCCATCTGTCTTTCCTTAATCTTGAAAACAGTTAGATAGATGAAAGATGAAACCAGATATGGAAACTTTAGGGGCAGGAGGCCCAATTAACTATATATGAACTTCTGATGCAAATTGGAAGTCATGTTATGTGAATTTCAAAATTTTTCTCTGAAAGTAGTTAGATGACTGGCTCGACTATTGTTAAAGTAAAAGTATGACGTAGAGGACAAGACACTACAGTACTGATTTGAGGTGGAGAGCATATATTTTAAATTAAATAAATTAAAAATATGATAAAAAAAATTGCAGCCCAGCATTATGATGACACAATAAATAATTGCTTATTTATTATGTGACTTTCTGCTTAAATGAGGAGTCTTGGAACATTGGTCATATGTGGCAAGGCTTTACTGTAAATTAAAAAATTGTGTTGAAGCTAATTTAAAAGAATTATTTAATTATAGTCTTTAACTTAAATGTAAGATTGGAGTGGACTTTGCTTTAAAAGTCTTAAATTGGGATAGTAATACTTTAATCAGGTTACAGTTGTGGGACATAGCAGGTAAGTAAAATCAATTATAAATAAAATAACTTTGTAAAATGATAAAATGATCTTAAAAAAATGCTTTTAAATATCTCAAACTTTAATATAAAATCAATTTAATTAAAGGACAAGAAAGATTTGGAAATATGACACGAGTATATTATAAAGAAGCTGTAGGTGCATTTATAGTCTTTGATGTGACAAGAGCAGCAACATTTGATGCAGTATTAAAATGGAAAACAGACTTAGATAATAAAGTTCATCTTCATGATGGATCTAACGTGCCTTGTGTACTTCTAGCTAACAAAGTGAGTGCTATTTTAATTCTAGTTATCAATGATATTTATTTTACAATTAGACTAGAAGTAACAATTTCTTAATTGAACAATGAATTAAGTTTTATGTGCAGTAAGTAGCAATGAAAATGTTGTGATGATACTGTAAATTTTATTTTAAAAATATTACACTATAAAAACAGGAGATTAGAGAGAGAATGAACTGTTAAGAATAAGCTCAAGACTGGACTGAAATTGTACTAACATAACGACACTGAAAAAAAGTACTGAAAACAGAATGACTCAATATTACCCACTTTTATCATTACAATTTTCAAATCTTCTACAGATGCATTCAAAAGAACATTGCAATATTGGGATTATAGTTGTTTGATTCACATAGCCTGATCTAGATTATTATTCATTCTACAAGGAATTTGAATACTGGGGTACAGCTATACTCACATTAATATGTATTTTGAATTAAACTTTTTCTTAACAATATATTATAGCATTGATTCTAAAAATTTCTCAAAGATTCTATTTATACTTAGCAGAATCAGAAATAAACCAAACTTCTAACTTACTACAGGAAACTGATTTTAACACAAGTATGAATGTGTATGAATGTACAGAACATCTTTTATATGAATTAGCAAAAACAAATCACTTTAATTAAACTTCAGCTAATGTTTTTGACTCTCCAAATAGGTCATCATCAAGCTTAATACATTTTAGAATAGAATTTTCAATTGTAAATGTAACATCAAACATAGAAAAAATAACAAAGTATTGTGTTTAAATTACATTCAGCATTGTGATTGGTCAAAAATGTAAAATAAATACACCATCCTGCCAAAATAAACTGCCTTACTAGTAAAAAATGCAATCCAATTAAATTAGTTTTCATTAAATACACTTAAGGTTACATGTTTCCTTCATCATTTAAAGTTCACAGAAATTTTTCTTCTTTAAGATTTATAATTTCTAACCTTCCTTATAGGTTAGATCTCAATTCAAGAAGATAATTATCCTTATTTCATCCCATTTTATAGATATATCCTCCTCCATGGTATACATCGCTGATGTTGTTGATGATATTCCTGTATTGTATAATGATCTTTAATCCTGCTTGTTGTTGCACCAATATATTCATGGTCCTGATTGTGTCTGTTATCCCTTAGAAGTATCATGTATTCTCCTAGTATTTTGTTTGGGTCTAAGCAGCCTTGATTATTCCTTAGGATCTTATGTTTGGATTTCTCTTGTAATATACAGTTATTCCTCATACAATATGGCACTTCTACAACAGTTTCACTCAAACACTGGTGGAAAATTGGGGAAATCCACTGTACATAATTTCCAATTACACTCTAATAAGGTTCAAGATGTGGGAAATCCTCTGTACAAATTTTCACAATTTTTAAGTGCAAACTCCTTTATTAGATTTTTTTTTATTCAAGCAAGCACACATAGTGTGTCAAATTTGCCCATGGATTTTAGAATATTGAAATTTTCAATTTTTGTGCCTTTTGTCAGGTTTAATGAAAACTGATAGGACAAGAAAGAAAGAAATTTCACCATCTTTCCTATTGACCAGGTGTTATAGTTCTTGCTTTCAGACTTTAGCTTTTAAGACTACTATGTTTTGTTTTTACAGATTGTATTAAGTAAAATTTATTTAATGATTAAACATTTTTAGGTAAGTGTTGTTAACCTTTGGTATGTAATAATTTGTAGAAATGATAAACAAAATATAGTGGTAACTTGGTACTTGAACTGTACCCAACCCAAATACAAATTCTGGAAAAAAATTGCTCAGTCCTTGCTTGAACAAATGCAACCCACTAGAATAGATTTTCAATTAATAACATATTTTTACTTTTTATTTTGTTATACATAAAAAAATTTGTGGTAAAAATAAAAAAGTGAAGACATTGCTGATATTTCTGATCAAGATCGACAAAAAAGCTCAAATGATGATGATCTTTTGTAAAAAAAAGAAAACCTTTATTTAACTAACAATCACAATTAAAATTACTGTATTATGCATTATTTTGATTGTTAGTTAATTATTAATTGCTGTAATAAACATATTTTTCTTAGTAACAAAAAAGAATAGTATACTTTTATTAACTTTTGGAACCTAATCCCATGTTTTGTATTAGTCCTTTGTTTCACATAGCATGAATTTGCAGAATATGGCACTTTTTTGGAACATGACTACTGTGTTATACAAGGGATATATGTATGTCAGGATGAGCAGTCAATGATCTCCTTATAGACATTGTAGTTTGCGATCTTGTATTTCTTATTAGTTTTGTCAATGTGTTATTCTTTATTGGGGCTGCTGGCATTATTCATGTATTTCTTGTATAACTGTTCCACCATGCCTGGGTTATATCCTAGTTTTTGTTGGCCTTAATTAAATTACATATCATCTTATGTCAATCAAGAACACAGTATTTCAAGAGTACAGTGTTTGTACTCTTCATATCACAATGCTCTGAAAGTGGTTATTTTTAACCTTTTTGACCAATTACAATCCTTAATGTAATTTACTTTATTTTTCTGTGTTTTAATGTTCCATTTTTATTTGAAGATTCTGTTCTAAATGTATATATTCTATCTTGTTATAAATGGATTGTCTAATGATAAACTCTTGGCAAGATCAAAAACATTAACTGAAGTTAATACAAATCAGCAATTAAACATCGCTTAAAGATGTTCTAAATATTCATATAATTAAACTTGCCTTATTGTTTAATAGTACAAATATTTAAAAGCACCTTCTACGTTGGTATTTTTCAGTTGCTTTTTGTTATGCAATAAGACAAAAACAGCTTTATTTCTGGCAAGCAAAATGCTGAGTTTTAATCATGACAATGCCCTTGCACATTGCACTCTCCTAGTTAGTGATCTCATATCTGGAAAAATACCCAGATACCTGAACTTCAAATCTCACTCCTGTAGACTTTTCATTTCTACCAGAATGAAAGACCTTACTGAAGAGTACAGATTCAAACAAGCAAAATTAATGTAACACTGCATTCAAGAAGATAAGACATACGCAACCCATTCTGCACTAATAAGTCATGCAAACATTGGCAGATATATGTAGATCCAGAAAATGCTTATTTTTAACAGTTTAAATATTTACAGAAGACTGACTTGCTGAGGATATATGTTCTTAAGAATGTTTGTTTATATTTAATGATTGTAATTATTGTATCTAGTCAAAACTTTTTTATAAAATGAACTATCAGGTAAATACAAATGAAAAATTGAGATAGACAAAACAGAGAAAAGGAATGAGGGATGTCAAAAATTGTTTAAATTTATGGGATTATGACAGAATGTTTGTTTGATTTTTGGATTTAATTCCAGATTACTGTTTACAAAAGTAGCCTATCCATCTTAAATATGATTTTCATTATACAGTAAATATAAATTTAATTCATATTATTCGACATTAGATAATATGATATTACAAATATTACATTTTTACCTTCACTGGAAGAAAGCAAGAGTAATATCAACAACTTCAACAAATTGAACATGGTAGTTTTGTTCATTTTAGTTTGTAGCAGTTTACCAACTATATTTTGTTTATTGCAAAATACCTCATTTCTTTGAAATTTCAAATATTGAAATGAAAATTATTGATATCACTACTAATTGAATTTGCTTAATTCTCAAATTTAAAATATTTTTAAAGACATATTTTGAAATACATGTAACTATATTTACTCTCAAGTTATTTGTTTCTATATATCAGGGGTGGCCAACATGCGGCTCTTTGAAGGATTATTTGTGGCTCTCGATAAATGTACCCGAGTTCCCTTTTCATTTTTGTGTTATTATATTTTAAAAAATTATTATCGTTCCGTATGTGTTTCAAAATGTCTTTTAAATTACTAACAACAAATATGAAAGACTAAGTGCAATGTTGTAACAAATTTCATTTCCATCCAAGTTAAAAATGATATGACTCATCGAAAACTGTGCGAACGAACATAAACAGTGGCGTAATCGTCCGTTATCGACTGACTCCAGACCGATTTTGAATTTGTAAACTGTCATTGCAACAGACAGTTGACATTGTGCTCTGGAGGAAACAATTTGTATCACTCTTGCTATGGATATAATTTGTAATCTGGAATTTTTTGCATACCTTTTTAATACGTATTTAATTGCGGCTCGCAAAAAATTTCAATTTTGAAAAATGGCTCGGACTATCAAGGAGCTTGGCCACCCTGGGTATATATGATTGATTGAGTGTGATTACTGAATTATACTCCAATATAATGTTTCATAAATCTATTATTTATGTATCAAAAAAGTATACCAAATGATCATAATTAAGATACCTTTATTGAACATTGTCTAGAGAATTAAAAAATATCACAAGGAGTTGCATAACTTTCCCAGCTGTTATAAGTTATTTTTAAACAGAATTTTATATTATTAAAATACAATTAACAGATGGTGCCACATACAATTTTATTATGAGATTTCGTTTTAAGCTCTTTGCCATTCTGTAAAAGTTTTTTATTTCTAACTGTACGGATAAGTTTTATAGAATAATGTTATTCGTTATTAGCATTTACAAATCTCAAGAGAGTTAGACTTGATGATATCATATGACCACCCTCTATCTCTTCATCCCCTTGGTGGTTAAAGGTTCCAGATTGTGAGGAGATAAAGGGGGTGTTGTATCTCAAGGGTTAGGAGTTAATGAAGATTTTACTCATTATTAGCATTTGCACTTTTTTAATAACTCATTCTGACTCTCAAAATTAAGCTTATTTTTTTATTTTTATAGAAATGTCACTATACCAGATTTGGTTGAGATTTAGCTGTCTAAATGCAATTTAGGTGGCACTGAATATGAGTATTTTAATTGATTATTCAGTGGAAGTTCATAATTGTTACTATTATTTGATACCTTTATATATATATATATAATTTCATATAACATTCATTAAATAATTCTAAAATGCCACAAATAATTCCCATATAGTTATTTGAATTAAAATTTATTATATAATTCTCAGTATATAAAGTTTTCTCCATATAAATTAAATGTTTTGGTAAAGAAATTTATAAATGGAGACTAGTAATTAAATTTATTAATATTAGAAAATGAGTAGACCATTTTAAATTAGAAATATTTTTGCAAAGAGATGAAAAAGATTAACTATTATAAAATAGAAAATTATTATAAAGTTGAAAAACAAAAAATTCAGCAATTTAAAAATTTCAGAATTTTATTTCATTTCAGAAAATGTTAAAATATATGGAATACTTCCTAAAAAATAGCAATAAAAAAAATTAAACAACAACAAAATTCAATTTTATTTTAGTTGCACAATTGTGAATGATTTTAAAAATTTATTGAATAGACAAAATGACTGTTGGAATTGTTTTACAAAATGAGATTGATAGAACTATAATTGCAAATACAGGTTACATAAATTCATTATTTTCAGCTCTTGATTATTCAGAAAATACTTTCAATTTATTTCTGCAATATCTTAATAATTGCTTTTTTTGCCATACCTGTAAATTTTAACTTCACGAATTTTAATCATTTTAAAATAAGATTCTTCAGAAAAAATTACCACCTTTTTTATTTTCGTTCCATTATCACTTCTTAAAACACGTGCAGCACCTATATTTACTGAATACATAGGAGTTATTTTCTTTATTTTCCTGAAATTATGAATTTGTTAATTAATAGAAATAAGCACAAAAGTGCATAACTTTTATTTTATAAAAATAGTAAATTTAACTAGAATGGTGTACAATTATGAGACACTCCCATAAAGTAATGTATTAAATTCTCACATAATGTAAATAATCAAGACATTCTGGAATCTAACACTTACAGTGAATTTTTAATTTAAATTTGTGGGAAGAAAAATGTCATTATATAAAAGCTTCAGCAGTGACTTTCAAATTTTTAAAAATTAAAATGAATATAGATTAAAATAATTTACATCTTCATTTTTTAGTTGTGGTTATCATTATTCATTAATAATTTAAGTTTGCTGTTTAAAATTTTTTAAAATACTCTTATTCTTTAAAGTGTGATGTGACTAAAGAAGAACAAGTTAGCAATGCAAATAAAATGAATTCATTTTGTGAAGACCACGGTTTTGCCGGTTGGTTTCTGACGTCAGCAAAAGACAATATTAATATAGACGAAGCCACTAAATTTCTTGTCACAAAGGTTAGTAGTAAATTTTTATATTTATAGATGTTAACCTAAACATTCTAAGCTAACATTTGATAATGTCATTTAAGAATTGTTGTTTGGAGAACCAATGTTATCTTTTTAAAGTTAAATCATCTAACTAGTTTGGCATTAAGCACCTTTACAAAATGCAAAAAAGTGCATATGGATCAGATTGTATCAGACAAGGTTTACAAACAATTGTGAACAAAATTTTATAAATATCTGCAATTTATATACCTTTAACCTGTCCTGCGTTGTTCTGAAAATTTTCGTGTTGACCTCATTGACTTGCGTGAGCAATCCTGAATATTTTCGTGTCTGCATTGGAATGTTATTGACACTAGATGTTGCTATGTCTCACAATTTTTATATTAAAACGAACTTTTAAAATATATTTTGTTTGTGCAACATAAAAAAAATTTTTTTAATGACACAGTGAACATGATTATTTTAAAAAAATTTTTGTTAGGCTTAACATTTATGAAAATTCAACATGGCATCACAGGCAACAGAGAAAAATTTCAACATCTAATATGTTGATACATGTTGTAGGAAGAGAAATAATTTTCAGATTAACTTTGAGTAAGAAATGATTTTTGCAAATGGCAGTCAATGTTACATTGTAACTACTGTAAGGTCTCTTTTTATGCAGATTATTTTTATGTGATTTTGAAGTTGTGCGGTTTGTATTTCATCCAAAAATTTCTTGGATAAACATACATATAGGCTTGTTTAGGAAGCCAGCGTATAGACAGTCTCCAAAAATCGTGGAACGCTCAAAGCTCACTCCATTTGTTCCACTGACATATAATGTTTATGGATGTAAAGGACAGCTAGATCTACCTTAATCGCTTTAGTTCCTAGCAATTTTTGATATAAATGTAATTAAACATAAAAAACACTTAAAACTGAAAATAACAAAAGAAATGCGTTAATTTTGAAGAAAAAGCTTCAAAGTTTAACTTTCTTTGTCTCGCCCTTCTGTGAAATTTAACACCCAAGAGTCATTGTTTACACAGCTGGAGTTGGATTTTCCGGGGCATTCTCAGACGTCGCGGGAGGACAAGGGTTTAAAGTGGGTGAACACTAGCTGGCCGTATATTGTTAAAAAATTTGGAGACTTAAAAAACATTCCAAAAATTCAAAAAAAAAAAAAATTTCAAAAATTTAAGGACCGTGTTTTGTGTAACGTTATGTAACTAAAGGTGTTTTAACTCTTCACATCCAGATGTCAGTGATTTGTTTTTAGAGTGAGCTTTTGCAATTCGGGGATTCCCCTTGTATTACTTTTCAATAAAATAAACTGAATTAAGTTTGAATACAAGTTTATTTAAAGCTTTTATATGAATTTCTTTCAGACATTCGAAGTAATTTATTAAGCAGCCTATTTCTTTTAATTTCTGCGAACTTTTTTATGCGGTTTTAAGTTAATTTTAACTCGTTGTTTTGGTTTTATGCGATTTTAGAAAATTACGGAACGTATCCCTACTTTTTCAAGGCAAGTAAAGTCTTTTTTATACGAATTTTTTATATGCGCTTTTCTGCAGAACGTATCCACTGCATAAAACGAGACCTTACAGTACTTTGGGAATATCTTTTCTGGATCAGGCACTTTGATTTTTAGCAATCCTCACAATATCAGTAAGATATTGTACTGTTTTTAAGTCTCTTTAGTGTCATATAATAAATATATGAGCAAATTCAACTATATTGAATGTTAAGGTTAAATTATATTCTAAGCATATAATATTTAAATAATTAATAATAATTTATTTAGTATAAACAAATTTTTGATTTTCAGATTCTCAATAACCAGCATGCAATTGCTGAGGAAGTAACGAACGATACTGTGCCGCTAGCCGAACCAAGCAACTTAAATTCTCGATCAAAAAAGTTCTGCTGCTAAATGTTTGATCACAATATATTGTGTATATAGTACCAGATAGAACTCTGAGAGAGTTTTAAATGTGAATTGTGTATGCATAATCTATTATGCAACTGTTTATTGAAATTTTTTATACATTCATCACTTTGAAAATAGACGTTTATAACTAATAAAGATTTCAAATTTGATATTTATTTACAATGGAGTTAAAATGATCCACTCTACATTGGATATTGTCACTGTTCAAAAAACACAATCACACAAAGTGCACTCTTAATCACATTCCCGTATGTGTCATTCCATGTGCTGGTGGTGGTGCCGTCATGGGTCGCCTCCATTTTTCCTGCTGGTGATATTCAGTCATGGGCCTTCCTCCAATGCCGCAGGTACCAACTCCCACTCTCCCATTAATGTTATCAGGTGATGCAAAGATACTTTTCTTTACTTGTCCCTTTTTTGATTTTGAAAATGCCTGAAAAAGTGCATACATTAGTTAATTTCAGATATACTAATTGTATATTGTTTGTTTTTACAAGTACAATAAGACAAATAGATCATTATTAATTATGTTTGCATCTGAAAGAAGAAATAGTATTTTTCATTCTTACCAGTTGTTCAAGATAATTGCAAATAACTTTTGGTACATTTTCAGCCAAATTAATTTTTTTTAATTGAGAGTAAACAATTTACTAAACATTCTTATGCCACCTATAAGATAACTCAGTTCAGACATGTTATGTTGTAGTCTGCACATAATATGTCTGTTACCAACTGCAGCTCATTGCAAAATTATTTCCAGGACTTAGTCTAATACATCCTTTTCTGTCTATATGGAAGTTTGATAACAGTAGATGTTTTGAAATTTCAGTCCTAATTGTAATATTTGGCATTTTAATTGTCCAAAAAATAGAGGATAAAACTATTTGCAAGATTAATACTCTCTTACATCATAGTCAAAACATTCTTCCAGGCAATATGTTCAAATAAAATCCTCTTCAGGATTTTTCAATTAATCACATCATATCATATTAATTCAAAATTGATGTCAGCATGTCTGAATAATAACATTTCCTACTTTTGCTCAAATTTAATGACCAGTGAAGAGCCATCTGTAGTGTATAGACATTCTTAATATAATGAATTATGAAATCATCAGCCTGACATCTAAGACAAGATTAACACAAAAAGACAAAATTGGGTTTAGCAGAATTTAGTGGTCACAAGACTATTTTGTGGTTTAACCATTTTTTGCCTAATGGTTTTAACATAGCAGTATCAAATATTACAAAAATTGTTAGTATATACTATAAATTCAAGACTAACAATTTTAACTTACTTATTTAATAGGAAGCAGCATTTTTGTCAAATTACTCATAGTGAAAAGCAATAATACCAGTGGGAGAAAACTTTTTAAAAAAGAACAGGAAATCCTTGTTAGTTCAAACTGAGTTTAGCACATATTGTATAGAAATACGTAAAATGCCATGTAACTGATGGAATTTATTTATATTGCTGTTTGCTTAATAATCTGTATATGTAGCCATATTCTATTATCATTAATAAACTGAAGGTAAACAGCATGTGTCCTATGAGAACCTCACAGGTTGCCCAATAGGTTTCATAAAAAGTATTTCATAATTCCTCAAAATGTAGCCCAAATTATTTTTAATATGGCACAAATAGTAGTAATTTGACCAAATATAGTAGCCTAGAGACCTACAAATATCTCAATCTGCTACTTTTAAATCCAATCTTGCAATCACAAAAACCAGCTATATTTTATGAAATAGGAAAAGAAGGGTATTTCATGGGTAAAGTGACACCTGTAAATGTGTTGCTATAAAACCTAAGCCATATTGACCAAGAACAACTCTAGATCAAAGTGCCTCTATGCTAGAAACAAACAAGTTAACATACGCACATCACAGTAGCCGTATTGCAAACTAACCAAATTCTTTATCCCTAGCCAGAAAAAAGAGATTTACATGTTATACAGCTAAGTATAGGAAATCTGGTTAGTTCAAACTTATCTTGCATTACTAATTAAGCTGTAATGAAACTCTAAATTTTTACAAAACAATGTTTAACATCCATTAAATTCATGAGTTGATTGATTTACTATTAAAAACTTCAATATCAGAAGTATCATTTTAGGAAACAAACTATTTACTATCTTCATGTCACAAACACTATTTGGGACTTGCATAAACAGAGTATAGTGTTGACAGTGATTAAATTTACTTACATCATTGTACTCAGTGAAAATATTCTGGTTGTATTAACTCTCATTTTGTTAACTGTTTTTCATTTGTTTAAATTATAAATGTTATTTAAAAGCCTTGGATAAATGTTTCATATACCAGTCATCAACATCATCAAACAATGTAAAAGGACACTAAGTGGATTCTACTAAAGCTGTATTGCCTTATGTACACTAGTTTGTACTTGGTAAATAAAATGAATCAAATCAAAAATTCTTAATTTATGTGCAAGATTTTCCTTCATATGTAATTAATATTATATTTGATCAATAAATAAAAGTCAATTTTGCTAGATAAAACTTAGCGATATTTTTTTAAATCCAAATATATTAACTTGAATTTGTTGATTTACTTAAAAGCATGAGGATTTTTAAAAAATAACTCAAATATATTTGTGGAATTTTATGATCATCAATTTTGAAAGACTACCAAGAAAATTGTACAGAAAAAGTAAGTTACCATAAATTGCTTTGCCTGCAACACAAAAAAACTGTAATCAAAAGATTTATAAAAAAATTTTTAGCTTAGAGTTTTTATCTACTAAAACAGATGAATAATTTCAAGAATTATTGAATTCTTTCAAAATTTAATCTCAACCTTTTAACAGTTACCTCCCATTTCCTTTCTGCATATCTTCATATTTTGCTCATTGAACATTGGAAATTTATATCAGTTTGGCCAAAATGGCAGCCTCTCCATTCTTTGCCATTAGGTTTGCTGAAATAATATTCCAAATTCCTTAAATCAATTCATCGAAAGCTTGTTATACTATGTACTGGTATATTATTGAGAGTTGAGAAGATAAACTATTACATATATAATGAACACAAATCATTTAGTACAACAGAGAATGAATTTGGATTAAGTTATTTCAAGACTTGTTAAAATAATTTGTAACATTAGTTTTTTAAAACATAAATGCTACATATTCTTAAGAAATCTTATATATAATATAGATTTATAAACAACAGTGCACATATAGTAAGTTATCCACAAATGCATCAGTTTTTTTTATACATAAAAATGGTAATGAAATATACCAAATTCCAGTTTAATTAAAATACAATCATTTTTATTTTTCAACCACCATTTTTTTGTCAATGTGTTAAATGCATTATTATTTGGTCAACATTTGGCTTTGTTTGAAATTGAATTGTTTTGAAATTTTCAAGCATTATGCCAAATGAATTGAAATAATTTAACTTTAATGCTTATAATATTAAATACTTTAAAACAACAACTGTGAAATTTCAGCAGGATTCAATTTAACAAAACTAACCTTTCCAAAGATGTTTTTGACCATACTGTAATCATTAGTTTTATTAAATTGAATCTTGTTGCTTGTGTTTAGTTTGTTCAAGTTTGACTTATTGTCGTATTAAATTATTTCAGAAATTAATATTTTTTTCCTTTTGCCTTTGGGAATTTCTTGGGATCAATATACATAACTATATTATTAATAAAACAGATTTAAGACAACCCTTGATTTAATCATATTAATAGAGAGGTTGCGGCCGAAGTTTTCTTCTTTAAAACGTGAATGTGAAACACCACTATCTTGTAAGCGGCGTTCGATGCTCACGTTTTACAGATGAGAACTTTGGCCACAACCTCTCTAATAACAATTAAACAAATGAAAACTTGCATTTTATCATATTTAAAGTAATACATGCTATCAATTAACTATTGGATTTTCTTAGAAACCAATTAAAATTTTAAATTAATATTTTAGTAAAAGAAACAGTTAATGAAAAAAGATTTTCTATTGATATTCTAATTAACAGGTTTACACTGGATAGATCTCAAATATACTTGTCTGTCACCAATTCAGTTAATGCACTATGACAAGATACTTTTGCATGCTCTTTTTGGCATAATCTGTGCTGCAATGCTAAATATAATTGAACTCTACAACTTATCCTTTCAAATCAAGTTCTGAATTATGCTCAACTATTTAAATTAAAATATAACTTTTTTCTATTTGCCTACAATTTATTTTACTCTTTAAACCAAATCTACAATAGAAAACTAGTTACAGCTGAATAATTATTAATTATAACATGATTAAGAGCTTACGTCAATTAAACTGTCAGAAACATTTGACTAATTTGAAAAACTAAGTTATTGAAATTTATCTTTATTTCTTTTTTCCATTTTATGTTTATCATTTCTTTTTTCCAAAATAATTTCTCTCAATGTTCATATGGGCTTAAAAAATTCCATAAAAATGAGTTCAAACAAGTGTTCAATGAGTTTATATTCCTCTTTACCTGTAAAGGCTTCTTTATCTATGGAAATGATATATAATGATGGTTGGCTAAATTTTGTTAGGAAAATCTGAGGTGTTTTCACATTCTAGGAGACAGACAAACTGACAAGAATGCTCTTAAATTAGTTGAAAACAATCCCAAGTTGACAGCTTGAGAAATTACACATCCATTCATTATAACTCATACAATAATCATGTGTCTTTAAAGTTAGTGAAATTCCAAAACATGCCCAATGAATTCCACATGATCTGACCAGTGCGTCATTATTCCTTGAAAGAAATATCACTAGTAATGAACAGTGTATTGTTTATAATCATATTCAGTTTAAGAGGCAATGGTTAAAATACAAAAAAATCTGTGCTGGTAACAAAACAAGACTTACACCCTAAAAAAGAAATCCTTTACATTCCACCAAACAAAGCATGTTTATCACAAGATTTCAGATTCTGATAATGATGATTATCTGAATGATTATTTCATCTCTTAAGAATAAGAGCTGCATTGATCAATTAAAAAGGAATGTTACTCTTGTATGATAATGCAAAACCATATACATGTACCAAAACAAACCCAAGGAAAAAAATTCCCACATTTGTAAATTTTGCTTCACACACATTAGAATGAATGTGAGAATAGAATTATTCTCCTGATCCTGTTACACTGGATTATCAGCTTTTCAAGTTCTTATCTAAGTGGTGTTGTAAGAAAAAGTACAACACTGATGAAGAGCTAAAAATTAGATACTTTATGTTTCTAAACCCAAAAGCATTAATTTATAATTATATTATATGCATAAGGCATTAATTCCATTTTTGTAGGCAAGTTATTTATAATCAAAAATGAGACTAAATATCATCTTATTGTCAATTTATGTAATGGAGTTAAAAATTTAATTATTTTAGAAAGAAAGTACTGTCATCTTTTTTTTCTCGTGCATAAAGAGAATATGTAACACCTTCTAATACAAATGATGAAAAGGAATAAGTTAAGTTTTAAATCACAATTTCAATCCATTAGTATGTCATTTGTTAATAAATATTTATGTTCTAAAACAGTGGTTCCCAACCTTTTTTCATTAGCGTACCCCGTGACATGTCATATCTCTAGATTGTACCCCTCATTCAAGAAATTTAGTGAGTACCCATATTGTTAATTTTACATATTGTAACTTTAAATTAAATAAAAAAAAGTAAATGAAAAAATGTATAATAAAGTTGTGATTGTTGCAAGGAACATATTTTACCTAATAATTTTTTAATACTATTAGTTTGTAATACATAATATATTATTTTTTCTGCCATAATAACTAACTTTTTTCTGTACCCCTAAACAACCTATCGCGTACCCCTGGGGGTACACGTACCACAGGTTGGGAATCGCTGTTCTAAAAGATAGCAAAAAGCAATGCATATGAGTGGAAAAATTGTAATGGGTGTTAATGAGAAATTTAATCATCTCTGACAAATGAAGGTTAAAAAAAACGACTGGAAGAACTAATTGTTAATGTTGAATGTCACCTTAATTTTTCCACTTGCATGCATCAAGTTTTACTTTTTACTGATGGCATATTTTCATGTATACAAAGTATCCAAAAAAAGTAATAGAAAAATGGGAGATTTATTAAAATGCCATAAAAAGAAGTTAAAAAAAAAGTTTATATAAAGGTCTTTTTAAGAAACTAAGATGTAAATAGAGCCTTAAATTTTCTGTTGCTCAGACTGTCAAAAAAAATTATTGCACAAATTGTTCACAGCATGTCATGTACTGTATATTGAAATTAAAAATGCTTCAATTAATAAAACAGGAATAAAACTATAAGCACGATTTAAAGGCTATCAGGCAAATGTAAAATCTAAGATTTTATATACAGTGAAATGTCAAAAATCCAGATTAAGTCATCAACAAATGAATATTAATTATTTCAATGGTAACTTCTTGTTGATGTTCTGTCATCGTTCAGAATTTGACATTTTTTTAAAATTAAAAAATTGATTGATTCTGTAAATTATATTTCGAACCTTTTAAGTATTCCTACATTCCTTGTGAAATACTAGCTTGAACATGAATTATTTAATATTTAAATATTCTATTAGTGTAATCAAACACAACCAACAACTTAGCAACACGCAAAAGACCAGAATGCATTTCAACAACAAAAAATAAATGTCATCATCCTCAGCTGGTTCTTAATTATACAACTCTCAACACCATTAAAATATATTCTCTCATTTTTTACAATGTTATAATAAAAAATATGACTAAAATACCTAATATTAACATATATAAACTATATTCTACATACAATTTTCAACAAAATACATTTTTTTTGAAAACCAAATTCTGTCTGACAAGGGGACCTTACGGTCTCAGAAATTCAGTTTGGGATGAGACTTTGCAGGTTAGTAGTATACCTTAAGGGTGTCCACCCAGAAGAATTGTAAAGTGCACAAGCCAGAAGATTCTGAGAAAAAGGGCTCTAAAGTTTTAAGCATAACTCATATACTGGTAGATTTTACACTATGGCAGCCAGTGAAATGGCTGAGTCTGTAGCAAACTCATGCCACACGGGTGATCTAGGTTCGATCCTACCTTTGGCTAACTTTTTTTTTTATTTTTAATTGTTTTAAAAATAATAACAACTTTTAAATAAAGTCGTTATTATTTTTAAAACAATTAAAAATTTCTCAGACTTGGCTTTTCTGTTCTCAAACTTAAAACTTTAGTGGAAATAAATTTTCATTGAATGATTTTTTCTATTGGTTATTAATATGATTCAAACCCAAACTTATCATAACCATAAATAACTATGGATGAAATGAAATGAAAAAACAGTCACTTAACAAGAAGTAAATTATACAATTGAATGAAGATGTCACAACAATGCTGTCAACAACTATTACGCAGTTTGAGAAAACTATTTTTCTGACGGGATAAAAAAAAATTGGAAACTCAATCTCCATTGAGGGCTATACACTTTGTATAATGTTAAGAAATAAACATCTTTTGGAAAAAAAATCAATTTTAACTTGCTTTTTTAACCATACTTTTCAAATAATCCTTTTATAAGTAAAAAACCATTTTAAAATTTTAACATAAACAAGCAATCTCTTAGGCCTGTTTCATACACATTCTGTTGTCAGATATGTGATAGGTATGAATGTAACAGATCAATCTGGCTAATAACCAGTTTAAACTGGTTCAGATAAGTTATGCTTGTTACATCCAATATGCATATACAGAAGTCTTTGTGAAATATTACAATAACTTCTGTAAACCTCAGCATTTTGTCGGTCCATTTTCAGGTGTATATCCAATGTCTGTTTGTTGAACAAAGATGTGAATACTCTCAAAAGATCCCATACTTTTCGTAACTGGATATCTGATACCAGACAGTCTTATCCAATGTGTGTGAAACAGGCCTTAGCATTGAATATGAATGTTTATATATGTTTGTTTGTTTTATGGTCACAATATTTGAGGTATGTTTTATAAATCACAATTTCTTACTGAATATTCATAAAACTTCATGTATTAAAATATATATATATATATTTTATTAGTAGCAATGATGAGAGATGGTAAAAAAAAATCCAAAACTATGTTGTCAAAAGTAAGTCTGCACTTTATAAACTGTAATATCAATTTCTTAAAGTCTGTTTTTTTAATATAATTTTTAAGAAATTTTTAAATAATTATTATAATATCAATAAAGATGGTTTGCAAGTATTGCTTTGGAGTACAACAACAGACACTGCTAGGTTCAAAAGAAAAGAAATTTTTTATATAGCTTGTCGACAAAAGATTAGAAACATATCTAATGAACACATACATAAAATATCTAATACTAAACATACATACGATGAATATGGCAATAATTTAATCATAGAGACAGATTCTGCAGGAATTCCTTTTAATAATCTCACATTAAATTTTTCCCACTGATTACAAACACAAAATATAGTTTGTTTACATTTTTTAATGTTCACCTATTAAATATTGAAAAATGTTTATGTTAAAATAGAATTGGAAAAAAATTGTATTAGTTTGATTCAAAAACTTATTGAAATAGTTTACTTACCACACTTGAAAGATTTTATCAATTAAGATACTGCATCCAAAATGCTTTCGTGCTTATAAATCCCAAATTAATAAATTAAAATTTGTCATCACAAAAATTATCTGCAACTGTTTCTGCACTAATGACAAACAAATTAACAGCAGAAGCATTGTTGCAAAGTTTCTAATCTTTTAACTGCAGAAACAACACTACAATTTATGATGACAACTCTCTCAAGTTAGAAATAAAAATCAGTTACAAGTTTTCATTTCATAGTTGGATCACAACAGAGTATGAATTAAGATTACCCTAAGTTACTATTTTTTATAAAAAGATTTTGTTTATCCTCTGTAAAAATTCTGAAGAAAATATTAAAAATAATTGATGTATTTAATGCAACCTTCCATATCAAGTGATATTATTAAAAATACCTTCAAAAGAAACAATTAGCTATAGAAGAAAAACTTAATTTCTAATTTAAAGAAAAAAAACCTGCATTTTTAAAAACTATCATTTATTCACAATTCTAACAAAAGCTAACTAGATATAAAAACAAGTTGATAGCTTCTGCTTTTTAAGAGAATACTTCAAGATTGATGCTGATAGTTATCTATAATTTTAAGAATTGCAATTATTACTTTATTAAATTAGACTGTCCTTTAAATTATCTCAAAAATTTTATAAAATGCATTGAAGATTTTAAGTTTTTTTTGAGTACTTTGAAGATGTTAACCAAACTGTACAAAAATATCAGATATATCATCTTCACATTAAAATGATATAAGCTAAATCAAAATTAATAAAAATTTTTTTAATAAAAAATTGTTTGTATTTTTATTTAAAGTATCNATTTAATGCAACCTTCCATATCAAGTGATATTATTAAAAATACCTTCAAAAGAAACAATTAGCTATAGAAGAAAAACTTAATTTCTAATTTAAAGAAAAAACCTGCATTTTTAAAAACTATCATTTATTCACAATTCTAACAAAAGCTAACTAGATATAAAAACAAGTTGATAGCTTCTGCTTTTTAAGAGAATACTTCAAGATTGATGCTGATAGTTATCTATAATTTTAAGAATTGCAATTATTACTTTATTAAATTAGACTGTCCTTTAAATTATCTCAAAAATTTTATAAAATGCATTGAAGATTTTAAGTTTTTTTTGAGTACTTTGAAGATGTTAACCAAACTGTACAAAAATATCAGATATATCATCTTCACATTAAAATGATATAAGCTAAATCAAAATTAATAAAAATTTTTTTAATAAAAAATTGTTTGTATTTTTATTTAAAGTATCTCTGAAAATTGTATGTTATTAATGATTTAAAATATTTATTTATGTTATTAATAAATGTAATTTTAATTGTTTTATAATTATTTATTATAAAAATTAATGTAATACATTAAAGCTAAATTAGAATTTGAATCATTCTTGTAGACAGATATTTTCATCCTTAATATCAACATTAACTTACCTTTAAGCTAACATATCTTGGATTAGGAAAACCCTACCTATTATTAAATCTAATAATTAATAATATTAAAAAAATCATAAATTTATCTTGAAAATTACAAATAATATAAAAATTATTAAGACTAAAAATCTAAAATATATCTTGGGTTGAATTTTTCCAATAAAGCCTTGTTTTCTCAATTCTATTTATTTAACTGGAAAAATCAAAATCAATAATATGTTATAATGTTTATATCAGAAATGTGAATTTTTTGGTAAGTTTAATGTTTCAAAATACATCATTAATTTTTTTAAATTTTACTCTATAAATTCTTTATTTCTATATACCTAAATTTATACATTAAAATAATACCTTTGCATTAAATTGTTGCCATTTTGACTTTTCTTTTTCTCTTTCTTCTTCAATTTGTTTCATTCTTTGTGCTTTTTTCTGAGCTTTTTTCTTCTTATATTCTCTTTTTGCTTGTACCATCTGTTTTCTAGAATTATCAAATATTAAAATATGAATTTACTAAAATAATTTTAAATTACTATAAATAAATCAGTCAGTCATGTCAAAGCATCAAATGCTAATGATTTTAATGAAATTGATTATTTAAACTATTAAATAATTAAAAATGTTCGTTTTTCTGGAAAATCAGCTGGATGAATATCAAGGTAGTGAGTTTTTACATTATAGTATTGTCCAGTTTCTAGAGAAGTTTTATTTTAGCTATAAATGTCCTGAAACTGTGGAAATAATTCATATACTAGAAATAGTAAAGCTTCAATTATACAATTTTTTTATCAACTACTATAGAAATAATCAGAAAATACAAACTCAACACTAATCAAATACCCAATGAAATCAATAAAATTAAACAGGTATTTTTGCAGTTTTATATTCATGAGAACCCAAAGGGGGGCTAATTCAAAAATTAAAAATATTTGAATAATTTATCATACTACATCCATTTTTTTTTTTTTTTGCTGAGAGATAGTTTTATTTTTTGCTGGCAGCATTCTGAGCTCTAATCAGAAGAGCTTTTCTATATTGTGATAGTGTTGTAGACAGAACAAAAGAAATCGACAGAATTGAACAAGTAGCTGAAGCCCTGGGATACAAAAAAGGCACAATAGCACATGAAAAAAAATACGAGATGGGTACAGCAAGAAGTTCAAAACATGATCCCAGTAAAGTCACAAAGTTCACATATAACAAGAATACGAAAGGTATTATGAAAGAATTTACGAACTGCAAGGAGACAAGAATGGTCCTAAAAAGAGCTCTGAACCTGTATACAATCTTAAGAAATGATAAAGATCACATTAAAAAAGAAGAAAAAGCAGGAGTATATAAAATTCCTTACAAGAACACACAACTAGGAATCAAAAAAGACTACATTGGAGTTACAACAAGAAACTTGGGGATAAGACTTAAAGAACACAAGTATGATGTCAGAAAAGGCTCCAACACAATGGTACTTTCCCAGTTTGCACAGACACAAGGCTCAATAATAAAATGGGATGAAGCGGATATTGTCAAACCCTTGTACTCCCCAACACTAGCAAAAACTGCTGAAAAAATTGAAATTTACAAGAGCAAACTGGAAGAGGCATGCATAAATGCAAAGATTGCAGAAAGCCCATCAAAGGCGTGGAAATTTATAGTCAAAAAATTTAACATGAACTCGTAGTCTTGCCTTAGTTTATAGCTATTTCTTTCATCAAATATTCCTTAACAATTTATTACAATGTTTGTCTAATGTATTAACTAGTATATTTATTTTTAATTATTATTTTCTATCACTAGGTCTGGCTTTGTTTTGTATTGGAATTATTTTTTCAGTTATTTTCTTGTTTTTTCCGTTATTATTTCTTGTATTTAAATTTATTTATTCTATTTAATGGAATGCCAATGTTCTTTTTTCTACTGTTAAGCCTGTGGATGGCCTATAGAGTAGGCTGAAAATGTTAGTTTTTCAATAAAACTATCTCAGAAAAAAAAAGGTGTAGTGTGATAAGTTAATTATTTGCTGAGCACGTTCTGTTTAATATTTGAATAATTATATGCATCTTTTATTAAGATGTACTGTACAAGAGGATTGTATTGCATAGGGTCTGATAAACCATATTTGCCATCATAAATCCTTTTTAAAAACAATGTTTTAAAGTTTGAACAAATAAATTTTAAAATATTTTTTTATGACTTAAGTTTCTCTAGCCTCTGTGGATCTTCCCATTACTTAGTCCCCATTCACAATATTTTCTCTCTCAAATAACTTGATCTTTTCCAAAAAGAAGAGGAAAAAAAAAAATACTTTAAAAAGAAACGCAACTGTCTGTCTTTTTTTCATCAAAGAATGTTTGTAATTCTTATAGAAAACAACATTCCGCATCTTAATTTATTTTTATTTTGAAAATTTTGAAGTAATTTACAAAAAGCTGAATTTGTAGATTTAGTCTTGTAATTGACAGATATAATAATACTCCATCCAACAAAAATTTATTTAATTAAATTTAATTTTGAAATATGAACTTAAACAAAATATGAATAGTAAATGAACCACATGGGATAAAATCCTATTTTATATTTAATGGTTTTTCTATTAAACTTGAAATATAAAGATAACATTGAATAATAAATTTTCTAGTCCAGATTTATTTCAATAATTATAAAACTCTGATGATACCTTAAACAAAAAAATATAAATGATCCTTGATTTTGGAGAACTTGCTCTTCCATATATACCATGTTTCCCCGAAAATAAGACATCCACAGAAAATAAGACCTAGCAGAGATTTTGCTGAATTGCGAAATATAAGACCTCCCCCTGAAAGTAAGACCTAGCGAAGTTTTTTCTTTGTCATAATGGTCATCCACAGATGGTTGAAAGTGGCCGTTGGCTTTTTGAAAGTACAGCCACTGATTGGTCAGCAGACAATTACGCCACACGGCATGATTTGCATAAGACTATGGCTTGGGAATCACAGATTTGCATAACGATACGGCTGGTGATGGCTAATTGGTCGGCCGGGAATCACGCCACATGACATTTGCATAGTGCTACGGTTCAGTAAGCACTAATTGGTCATCGAGTCCGATGTTGACGCTATAAAAAGGCGACAGTTCGACACACCGGATATACGTCACTCTCGTCTAAGTTCGACTTGGGAATTTTTTTGTTCAGTAATAAATGTGGATTCTTCTTCCTGGAAAAATAAGACATTCCTTGAAAATAAGACCTATCGCATTTTTCAGAGCAAAAATTAATATAAGACACTGTCTTATTTTCGGGGAAACACGGTAATACTTTGATATCTCTAAATCAGGGGCCATATTCTGGTCATTGTCTCTTATCTCTCACAAGCCCATTGCTGATTAACTAATCATTTGTTTATGTCTCGAGAGATCATCACGTCTCTCCAAATGCAATTATGGACAACTTTGTCTCAAGATTCTCTTATTTCTCAGAGACAAGCGGATAGTTGTCTTTCAACCTATCTTTTGTCTCAATTTTGTTATATCCAATATGATGACTGGATGCTACTCATGCTGTACAATCATATTAGAGAATGTTCTCTATCTCAGGAAAGAATATTTTGAAAGAGAAAATGTTTCTGATTTTTTTCCAGTGCCTACTCGGAAACGTCACTGATTCCATTTTCTTTTTTAATTATCCTACATCAACTACTGAACTATTGAATATGATGTTAATCTTACTTAGATAGTTAAGGTGAAATTAGATGGTAATATTTCAAAAAATATCTAAGTACACACGCTTTTCTAACTTAGGTTATTAAGATTTTTATTTGTTAAGAGACAAATTGACATTACAATCTGTAAAAACATTATAAAACAAAAAGCATAACTTTGTCAAAATTACGTGCTTTATTTGAATGCATGCTTTTCTTGCCACGTGGTCTATAATTACATATTCTGCATATTCGAAAATTTTACTATTTCATTGGTTAAAATTCTATACTATGTTGTGTACACAGATAACCCGAACATGTATAATCAACCTATTAGAATCATGATGTCATCAATGAAGACAAGATTGTTAAAAGTGACCAGAATCGCTGCTCTCTCTCGTTTTGACTTCATTCATCCTTGAAAGAAGAGACAAGAGATAAGTGACCAGAATACGGCCCCAGTTTTTACATGATAAATTTGTACATTTTCAAATGACCAACAAAATTTCTAGATATTGTGTGGTGACACTTTCAATTTTGGTTTCAGTGATATCAAAATCATTTGTGACAAGTAATTTCTATTGCCTAGTTTCTGTTAAATCTACAGTTTTAATGTTTTAAATTACATTATAAATGATTACATACTTTAATTATAAAAATCTACAAAATATAATATTCATTATTAAATAAGTAATTGATGGTGCAATTAAAGAAAAAGAACCCAACATAAAATCTTTAGCTAAAAATATGAATCTTCTGAATTTAAAATACAATGATTCTAAAATAATAATAATTGCACAAGTCACCTGCAAGAAATTAAGTCCAATGTATTATAACTTTTACAATATAACTAGAGCTAGGATATCTAAGCACTAAAAAACATACAAGTTATACAATTTTCAGTTCAAAGATGCCCTAGCCCAGTGGTAAACAATCTATGGCACCCGAATTCTAAATGGCACGCCAATTGTGCATAAAATTAAAAACTTCAAACTAAGAACCAAATATTGATGTGTTAGATTCTAAAATTGAACCACAAGGGAGTCACTAATGTTTAAATATTGTAATTTTTTTAATAATATTTTTATATAGTGTGTATTTTATAGTTAAATAAAAATGTGTTTATGTGCAATAAATTTTATAATTTTATTTTAGTGGCACACGTAGTGTCCAGTATTTTCATTTACATGTTTTGTGGCACACCAATGCATTTGGGTTACCGACTGCTGTCCTAGCCTTAAATATAACTAATATCATAGTTCCTTTCCATATTTTTTTAAATTATGAAATCTGTTTATGAATAATAATAATAATTATTATTTTTTAGCATTAATATTTTACATTAAAAATTATCAATTATACTCACAAATTAATACATTAGTGAAATGCAGTTTTATATATATTTTTTTCAATTGTGAAAATTAGTAACAAGATAAAAAGTATTGATTCAGTACTCTATAATAATTCAATCTCCAAAAAATTTAAAGGAAATAAAAAGTAAACAACATAACTATAAATATTTTTAGTTGTCATATATCAAAATTATCACAAACTATAGAAATTGTCCTTACAATTTTTATAAAATTTTTAATTAACTACAGTATTTAGAAAGATAACAAACATTTTGAAAATGCTTTCACTATTATTATACTTGTAACATTCTTATGGGAAGAAATAGAAGTGAAAAATGATAATTGAATCATAGGATGTAATTAAAATTACAATTTTAGACAGTCATAATGGAAGAGTTTAAGAATCATAAAAATTACTTACAACATTAAATATTAGAATATATAAAATCAAA